ACCACCACCACCACCACCACCACCACCACCACCACCACCACCACCACTGTGTTCGTAGAGGACTTCATGGTCTTCCCAGGCTTTTTATGGTCCACTTCCATGGCTTGTGGGTGGAAGTCTACATACTATTCTCACCTGTTGTGTGGGGGGGGGAACGGAACAGCCAGCTGTCCGCGTCCGTTCGCCGGAGTCCCGCCAGGTTGCAGGCATGACCTGCAGCGGCTTTTCTTCTGCGCGAGAGAAAGCTGCCAACTCATAAGCACACCAAAGCCTCCTGAGATGATCGGGGATTGGTGTGCTGCCGGTCCTTCAGATTCGATCCATTCAGAGTTTGGGCGGGCAATAAAAGGCGTACATTCCATCCTCCTCTTCCTCCTCGTTCTCCTTACAGACCTTACGCATTTCCTTTGGCTTCTCGCTGGACTTCTGCCGGAAGAAATGCCATACTGGATGCCAGCACACATGAGACAACAAATTGTCAGAATACATGCCAATCACAAATATCACAACAAATATCGAGAACAAATTTCAGAACACAAACCAAGACAAAAGCCAAACCACACGTGGCACCACATGCAGAACACATGCCAGGTTTGATGCGAGAGCACATGTCCAGAAGGGATTTTAGAACACATTCCAGAACATTTTGCAGCCTTTATGCTAAATGCCGTGGCAGAACAAATTGAACAAATACCAGAACTGCTGCCAGAAAATTATATCCATGAACCAGTCAGACAGTGTTTGTCAGGATCATCCGCGCCTTTTTGTCCAAATCGCCTCTCAGGGTGGGGATCACGCAAAGGCAGTGAATAAACAGGTGAAGCTTTGCACATTAGAACATTGGCCTACAACATGGTGTTGCGGGGGTCAGGTGATCTGAAGAGGTGTCCCGTTGGTCGAGAAGCACACCTGCCAAGGTGCCGTGCCCCCGCCATTGGGCAATCAAGTAAACACGAAGAATTCCTCCACCTCCACCACTCCTGCCCACCATCAAAAGCCGTGTCACCGTGCCACGTGTTGCACGAACCCCCGGTCCACTTCGTCCCGCTCTTCTCCCCTTCGTGATACTTCCGAATGCCATGCGTCTGAAAGTAGCGAGTGGACCACAGCACCGTGAGCTTTCTGGAATGGTCCAGAAAGCCCGCCAGGGCCAAGATCCCCTTTTCCTGTCGCCGAGGAAAGGGACGAGTTCGGCGATAGGGCGTGCATGCCTGCGTTCCTGCGTTCGGTTCTTTTTTTTTGGGGGGGGGTGGCTGTATGAAGAGTGAGGTGGGCTATGGCTATGGGTGCCAAGATCTGCCAAATGTTCGACTGAAACTTGCAACACATTGCAGCAGGGCATGTTAGGGATGAGCAGCGATCCTTGGACACTCGACACTCAATGGTCGTCCACATGTCCGGGGGGTTCGGATCCTGAAAGCTCACTGTGTTTGAGGTTCAGGTGCTATGTCACACATTCCTGGTGCTATGCACATGATCAGGGAAACAAAGTCTGTGATGTCCAGCCATGTTCTCTGGCGTGGAGGCCAACTCCATCGATTCCCCGTTGACTCGTGAATTCTGCGCGGCTCGTTCTTTCAAGAGCCCAATATGGACAAACCCAAATGACTCGATCATAGGTGCTTTCTGAAGTTCTAGAACTGTATGCATATAGGCATGTAACGTGACCGTTCTTTTTTTGTGGTTTGAGGTCACTTGGGCCTGTCAAAGGTCACTTGGGAATTCCAACAAGGTCCCTATGAAGAAGCTTGTGTGTTTAGAGTCTATCCAAACACATGGAAATGACATCGATATTCAATACTATATATAAGGGGCATCGGGCAGGGGAAATGTGGAAATATCATCCAAATGTGTAATCAAATCCATTTGACCTCTGTTTTGACAGAGAAAACAAACAAACATAAAAAAGAAAAAAAACACCATGTTTCGGGTGGCTGGTGGTCAAAATACATGTTTTTTGTCTCTGTCTCTCTCTGTCTCTTCTCTCTCTCTCTCTCTCTCCCTCTCTCTCTCTCTCTCTCTCTCTGTCTCGCTCTCTACAAATGCTTAAGCCGGATTTATATGTCGGGCCTCCATCACCGTCGTCATCAGTCACCACTTTCAGAGCCCATGTGCTGCACATGACTACCGGATTATCCCCTGAAGTCGGTCCGCTTCTAGGTTGGAGGCCATCGCTATTAGCTTACCCAACACACTACCCGAGAGTCCTTCAACTGCTCGTCGTGCTGTGCTATGCACAGCTTGTCGACAAAAACCATGAGTGGTCTGCAGCAGATCAGTCTTCGAATACGCTGCCAAAAGCAAAGGAACAACAAACAGACCAAGTACCTGAGATCGATACATTGTCCGATACCTATCATATATATACTATATAACAATATTGTAATATAGTGACGGGTCACTGTGGGTCATGGGACCGTTGAGCCGACACAGAGGTGTTGAGGTGATCATGACTACAATCCCTACAGGTCAATGACCTCATTTAAAAACACTACTTAGAAAAAACAATACTTAAAAAGACCAGGTTTAGTGCATCTTTGGACTTGTAGGGAATCAGTTGAGCCAAGGTGGAACACTCGCCAATTCGCTGGTTCCAAACCTGTCTCATCCACTTTGACCTTAATTAGTCAAGTCTTGATAGCTCCAGCACAAAGCCTCGATCAACCTCAAATGCTCTTGTCACTTGTCCAACGCCTGATATGAACAAATCACTCACCTGTCTGATTTCACTCAGATGACCAACCCACCGTTTCGACCACCGACCAGACGTTTGGCCGCCCGAGCGACCCGATGCCAATGGTCCACATGTCGTTGGGCACGATCTCGAAGGATCGCAAGAGGCCCAACGCCACACTGGCCTTCCACGGTCCGGTTCCGGTTCCGGACGCTTCCGGTGGGTCCGGACCGGAATTCGGCCATGGCCGACCCAAACAACGACACGGCCGAACGGTTTGGTCTCATGGTGCGAACCACAGCCATTGGCTTTTTCAGAGTTCAGCTAACACATGTGGCAGTGGGTCAAAACAGGGGGACTCTTCCATTGTTTGAAAGGTGAGCTGTTGACCCAAGTGTTGACCCACTGCCATGTCGAAAGACACATTCTTCGACACACTCTTGTTCAACTGTGGCGCTGTGAAGCTGCCCACGAAGGCTGCTCTCGAGTTGAAAATGATCATCAGTGAAAAGAGCCTCAGCCGCAGTTACGGACAACTGCTTTATGCTCACGTTGAGAGTCTGGATTACAGAGTTCATATGTGTTCGTTTATTGGTCCATCCAAAAGTTCAAAAGACATGCCATAGGACTCTTCTCTGCACTGGATTTCACCTCCCCAATCCTTGCCAGGAGGTTGGTGACCCATCAGAAGGCACAAAGCTTTCTTGGGGGGCGCCAAGGGGCTTGAGCCAGCGCGACGTAGCCCAATCATGGCTGAGAAAGACGTCATACTCTTCAATCCTCAGCTGTTTCTCAGGAAAGCAAACAGCCCAGAGTCAGCTACTGCCCACCAGGTGCTTGGCCACAGGGCACAAAGATTTAAGCCACTTTAGGGGGGGTTCAAAGAGGTCATTCAGTGGATTTCTGAGTGGATTTCTTGTGTATCTGAATTGACGAACAAGCAATTAGCCACTAAGACACAATCGCTTGGCAAACAAACCTCTTCCTGTTCGCAGGATTCTGTTACATTGTACTTCGTGACCTAAGAAACTGCTTTGGACGGGAATCACAGCGAAAGAGCCTCGTCATGCGACGTCATAGCGATGCATCCAAGCGAAAGCGCTGAAAATACTGCTCCCAAGCGTCTGGCATCCCAAATCATAATTGGCAGCGGCAATACCTGAGGCAACCAAGCGCGGAACATAGACGGATCGGAAGCCGTGATAAGAGAAGCAAAGACTATGTCCAGACCTACATGTTTGTTGGATCTCGAATCTCGACATGTATATATTTGTATCCTAAAAGCAAATAACCCCCTCCTTTGGACTACCAACCAGCTGTAAAAATATTGTCCTATCAAAACAAGGGGGGAATCAATAGATGCACTGTTCAAACATCCTACACCAAATCAGCGACATGGACAACATGTTGGAACCCTGGACCGAGATGATCTCACCAAAGAGGGAAGTGAAAACCCGGGTGTCTGATGGTTAAGTGGATTTGAAACCAGGGAACCACCAGTTTCAGTGGAAGAAACTGAAATTATGCTATGAAGACCTGGAAGGCCTTTGCAAGTGACCCCCCATCTCCTGCCACTATCGCTGAAAGGTGCTGCATGGTGGCTCAACAGGCAAAGCTGTTTTTCTGCGAAAGGTAAAGCAAGAGTGATATGAAGTGTATAGTCGTACAGTACGTAGCAGTGTTTGCACAAGTACAATTGTTTCCTACATGAGTTTGGTTGTTGGGGCATGTGATTGGTATTCAATTAACAGCCAGCCTTGTTAAAGTTTCAAGTGACCCAAACACATAATCAATTCACCATGCCTTCGATGAAAAGGAAGAGACCATCTGCCATCCAGAATGGCATTCAATTGCTGCCGCTAAGAAGACATGAGGAGGTCCACTATTATCCTGCCTTATTCAAAACAAAGTGCATCATTGTGCTATATATATATATATACACAAAGAGAGGGAAAATACGCAAATAAAGAAACTCCCTCGATTAGCCCACGCTATCAAGAGGGACAAGTATAGTATATAACGTGTGATGTATTAGTTCTGCACAAACTTTTCCGCGGAAACCTCCTGGCCGACACTTCCCCCCCGCATCCGAACGAACTGAGGAGGGCATTTCGTTCGAGGCGGACGAGGCGAAAGGTGCGAAAGGATGCGATATCACTTGGGTCTATCCTATTTCCAGGCTTCAGTGGATGAGGATGGTTAGGTTGCAGGCCTTGTTCAAAAATAGTGATTTGCTTGTTTACTGACTGTTACAAGTAAGTTCGGACAGATCCAAGATATCACCATCACCAAAGTCACTCCGAAAATGAGTCCCTTTTGGAGCCTCCACAGCTCCACAGGGACTCACTTTCCTGAAGTTGACAAGTTATTTGCATGTTTTTGTAGCATTTTTGAGTGTCTTAGAGTCTTACAAGACATCTTCCCAGGAGATGCCAAGCGCCCTCCCCTTCGATGCCTTGGTCGTCTGTTCCCGGACAAGCAGCCTTCTCCCCAGGAGACGGCCCCGACCCAGCAGTCGACTTCGCCATTCCGAGCGGCTAAACGCGGCATCCTCATTCTGCTTCCAGTGCTTAGCCCAGCCACTCAAACATATGTGGAGTGGCACTCCTCACAGCTTTGAAGAAGGCACCCCGAGAAAGCGTTCGCACCCGACCCGTCGAACGCGACAGCGACCCGCAGGAGAATCCACGCGGATATAGCTCATTGACGTGTTGTTTTCTAACAAAAGAAACAACTATTGATATATTTTGGATGTGTCTACCCACCACTAAACCGTAACACAGGAATGAACCGCAGTTTACTATTGACCATAAAAATCCATAAACTGCAGATTGAAATTCATCGACTACGTCTCCATCTAAATCGGCCCAGCAGTCTGTCTTTGGGCGCTATAGAAACAACATGCCCTGCCCCCAATCTGTGGTTTCGTCCTACCAACGCTCCCATCTTAACTCCTTCTCGTGGGCAATTGAACTTTGGGGCGGCCAGTGATGAAGCGGCATTTTCAGACGATCCCTTCGAACTCGGAATGCCTTTTTGGATGTTTTGGGGGGTTGGAACACCCGCTCCGGGTCATCTCCAAGTCGACTGCTCGTCAGAAGGGATGGGAGGTTCCCGGTCGATGGTCGCACCTCGAAGCAGCTCAGGCTCCACGTAGGACTGCAGCGAAGTGAAACCTGAGGAAGCTGAGCTGGACAGGCGAGCTCCCTTGCAATGCCCATCAAACCATCCCTTGGGCTCCTGGCCGCCCCCTCCGGGAAAACGAGCTGGGCCAGGGGTGGGTGCCAGGGGGGTCGTGACACCACCTGAGGATATGGGCAAGGAGCCTATAGGACCTCTCCGGGCATATCAAACCTCTATAGCAGCCGTTACGAAGCACCCCCCCGTGGTCAACGAAATCATGGTGCGATGCTCTGGGGTCTACGTACCCGAGTTGTGTGGGGTCTGCGAAAGTCAGGACTTGATTCCTATGTTCCAGGATAAGAACCCCCACCAAAATATGTTTACAATCAAATAGAGAGGTTTTGTGCATTCCATATGTGTTGTGTTTCCACTCTCCTTCATTCACAGCTCCACTGTACTCAACAGCGTGTCACACTCTCCAAAAGTGGTCTGAAGATGCCCAAAAGCGGCTTCTGACATGTTTCCGATGCCCCATGTTTTGCATCTTTTGAAGGTTCCGAAGCCACAGGTGTTTTGTGTTTCTACTAGCTTCTTGTTACTACTAGTAAGGCACTTGTTACTAGAAGCGATGCACTTGTT